CCACCCACCGCCTCTTCGTGGACTGCTACCTACTGGCTCGTGTCGGAGGATTCCTAACGGAAGTTACGTTGACACATTATACAAACACACCACTCATCCTCCGGCCTCAGATGGAGGCTTTTTACCAAGTCATGTAACGTATTTAGTTTATTTTCGTACAGGAAGAGACATTACCTTGCTAGCCACCCAAAGACTGGCTGTGCATGCCTCGTAATTTACGCCTGTCATAAATTATGTTCCTAGAAATCTTACTCATCATAGCTGATGTGTTATAAGTATTGGTCTTGAAGCCTCTCATGAATACAGTGTCAGGATGTTACGTGACCCACAAAAAAAAGCTTGCATGTAGCTTTTTCTAGACTTGCAGCGTTATTCATTGCTCATATTGTGTAGGTTGTTTGAGATTCTTTACCTTTGTTCAAGTCAGGGTGTGAAACAGTCAGTAAGACATAAAAGCAAGCTTTGCCGCAATGAGCAACAGAGGCTGGATGAAATGTGTGTAGCACCACAGCTGGAGACACAACAGTGGTATCGGAACAGGCTGCACCTACACAAAACAGAATATAGACTAAGGGAAAAGAAAATCTTTAAAATAACCCATGAAGCATAAAGTCAATCTCTTTTTCTTTCTTTTTTTTTTGTAATGCTCTCTTTCATATTTGACTCTATGGCACTGTTTTCCATGATTGCTCATCTCAAGCAGCTCAGAGGTCTGGGTCAGATGTACAACAGCTTGCAAGAGCTTTGTCAACTCGAAGGCAATTTCCAAATAAACATGCTTCCAGTTGTAGTGTGTTGAGCCCCGCATAGCCGCTTTTTCAATGGTGAAAGTAGAGCAACTGGATCCTTGCTTTTCCAGAGGTGATGCAAACTTACAGTTTAAGCTAACCCCCTCTGATCACGTTTGGTCACATGTTTGAAATCAGTGGCAAAACTCTGAGACGCCACATATGCCGAATGTACATCCCAGTGCCAGAGAATCAGCAGCAAGTGCTATTAATTGTAGCAGAAAGAACCCAATTATAAAATTATTTATTCTCTGTTTGCAGTCAGCTCAGTGGACAAAAAGCTTGAGGTCTGCTGCAAGTCACCACAGTCCAACCTACATTTTGATTAATGTGGCTTTTAAACACTTTGGTTAACTTGGTGTGTGTAAAATTGATTGAATTTTAATGTCGAGATCATTAAATATAAAATCATAACAAATAAAACTAGACTGTAACATTTTTGAATATGTAATATTTCCCACCTTTGCATTTTTGTACCCTTCATTCTGGTGGAGCTTTGGTATCTGCAGGGACCACAATCACCTGCAAAGAGCTGAGATCATGATATACAAGAGACCTCCTCTATTTTATAATAGCTGTAGTTCATACTGTAATATGCATTAATGTGAACTTTGAAACAACTGTTTTGGCAGTATTGCAGAAGCTAACATCAACTTCCTTATCTCTGCTTCTGGGAGCACAACCAATCAGTACTAAAAAAAAAACAAATGGCACTCTTGGATTGGCTGGTTTCCAAACACCAGTCAATAGCGTGTTAATTAGCATCGTGTGTGAGTATTTCAGCTTCTCAAGCTACATCTTCTTTAAATACTTTACATATGCTGTACAAAAATCATGAATAGGCGAATTTGCGCAGCATATAAAACATGATTAAATCCATGTAAATGTTTTGAATTTACAAAGCTCCTTTCCAGTCCTACTGACCACTCAAATGCTTTGCAGTACATGCACCAATTCACATTCACAAATGCACACATTTATACAGCAATACACAATTCAACAGGCAACCAGGGGCACATCAACATGTGACTAGAGGAAACTGAAATCATTTCTACAACCTTGAATTGAAGACAATTACGATACTATTCGGTCTCTGTTGTGTGCCAACTTTTCTCAGAAACATATTTGTGTCATGTGTTTGTCATATCTTCATTCTCCCAGTGTTTTACAGTGAGTCATATTGAGCAGTTTGCTGGTATAGCCCAATGTATACCACATTGATGCTTTCGCTGCTTAGCACATATTTTGGCAGCAGACTGTTGTGTGTAAAACAATGAATGTGAATGTAAGACCTGAACCTGCCCTACAGTGTCCAAGGCCTGAGACACACTGCTTCACAACTTTTGTTTCCGATCCTTTTGAGATATTCCAGGATGGTGTTTTGCTTTTGGTAGAAGTCCAGCAATGGATATTCCTGAATCTCAAACAGGATCAATTCAACAGCCTGGCAGGAGTGAGTTTGGAAATTGATGTAGGTGAAACAATAAAAAATGTGCAGAATTTGAAATTGAAAAGACTACGTTGCTTACTTTGTTTTGGTTTTTTGTTTGTTTGTTTGTTTGTTTTTTTGTTACATATGAAATTAAACTTTTTTACTTTTCTCACTGATTGCTGAAGGGATGTTCAGTCATTCAGCTTATTTGTCAAATCAGATGTTGTCCTGGGAAGTCATGGTTTGCACATCATTTGAACTAGAAATCATCTGGGCATACTTTGCATTGGAGATTTTTTTGGGGTGCCAAAACAAAAATATTGTCTGAACTAATGAATGTAGTCTCTGATACAGCAGACTATGATGAGTTCCAGGGTTGGTGTTGGGCCGGAGGTTTTCCCTTCTGTTTTCCATAATTGCTTGCTTAGTTTTAGGTTGTTTTTTGTTTTGTTTTGGGGTTGTTTTTTTTTACACAAAAGATCCATAAAGATCACTATAAAAGATTATCTACGACTTCCTCCGACGGGCAAAAAACCTCTGTTGTTCATTTTAGAGGAAAATTCTTCCCACCCCATTTATGTCTGGGTGTGTCTGGGTTTAACATGAAATAATCAGACAGTGACGGCAATGAAAAGAACATGGAGTGAGAATGTTTCAGACAGCTTTTCTTTGTTTTTATTGACATGGGTTATTTTAGTGCCCATTTGTTTGTTTTACCCCCTTTTTTTGACATGGATAAAATCAGTTTTATTTAAGGTAAAATACCTCATTTAGGACAAAGAACACAACACATTTAATTAAAGTCAAATAGTCTGCATGACTGATAACTTAGCTAATTATTTTAAGTATGAATTTTAATTAATGGCCTTGCCCTTCATTGATACATTTTGAGCCTAAAATTCACACACACACATTATATCCATATACCTGAGTCATGAATGAAAAATGAAAACATTTGTTTTAAATATAAACAACAAATCAGTAGATTTTTATCAGACTCTGGGAATATTACACCCCACTGAGAAGACCCAAGAGACCGTCGCCCATGAAATCACAATGTCTTACATAGTCCGTCACTCTAAACATAAATAAAATGCAACATTTTCTGTAATTCATTTTGAAGTCTTATGATGATCAGAATAAGTAAAGATGTATTTCTGCTGCCTACTATCGACTTGTCTTCCATTTATTGGCAGAAATTCAATGTTGCATTCATTTGCTGTTATTTAAACTCCGTGTTCTTTACTGAAATTAAAAGGCCAAGGGGTGCCAGGGAAAACGAGCGAGAGCTGAGCATTAAGATGTGGGAAAATGTTGACTACCTGTTGCTATGGCAATTGGTTTGGATCCTGCAGGCTGCAGGACTCTTGCTGTGTCTAAATAAAGCTATTTTTTTCGCACTGATCTGTGGATGAAGATACTCACAGCTGAAGCTAATCTTCTGAATTGTATCAGTTGAAGTAAACACTTAATACTTTCTGTGAAGCATCCTCAACAGCCGTTATGGGATTATAGATAAGATGGAGCACAATGAGGGGCACATGCTCGAGTACTGATGAAATCCTCAGTAACACTTGCAGGCTGATTTGAGCTGTGCTGATGTGGATCAATGTTAAAAGGCCAATAGATTTGGAAGTAACTGAATTACAGCTGTATGTTTCTTAATACAAGGTTTCAGCATGCGTCATGATGTGACGACTATCTTCATATCTGCCAAGATCATATTTTTGTCTTCTGTACGAAATGTGATTAGAAATCATGAAATAAAAATGATTGAAATATCAATTTTCCATGTGAAATGTTTCAATGTGTGTATGTATCTATCTTTACAAATATATAAAATCATTAATCCTAAAAAAAAAAGATGAATAAACATGATTGCTCCATTACCAAAATGATAAAGTCGACATTGTTGTTCTGTTTTCACTGTAATATTAGTTTGTTTAGTCCATCTACTTTAAGATAAGCTAAATAATTTTTCTGTTCTCAATATAAGCTATGCTCCATTTGATTTGAAGTCATCAAGTAAACCAAAATGTCAATTTAAGTGGAAGAAAAACAAGGGAAGCATTCCTTTATGGCCCATCTTTTGTCCCACATTGCTGTCTAGTAACACACCACCCTGGTTCCCCTGTAGGGGGAGCCTGTGTGCAGAGAAACGAGGACACTAATAGGTGCTCAGACCACACACTCCCAGTTTGTGATGGGGACTTCCATTCTTGCTTCAAGTGGGTTTGAGGCCATTTCACAGACAACATATTTAGTCATTTTCCTCCCACTCAAGGATGCAGCCATCATGTAGTAAATACCCAAGTTTATTAAACAAACGTGTCTGTGTGTAATTTTTACTGTGTGAATGGCCTTACTCTGTGTGTTTCCTGAGAAGAAAGGAGTTCAACATGACAAATACATGGTAAAAAAGAATCTAAAAGGCTTATGAAATTTACCTGAGCTTCAGATATGGTAATAAGATGTCTGTTTCTAGGCAACAGGAGATTAATATACAATTAATAATATGGAAAATTGGAAATCCTCTCACTGGTTTAATGTGCTTGGAAACTGTCTTTTGTCTGCAGTTTGTTCCTTCCTTTTTTAGACATTGATACATTTCTTGTGTGTTTCACTTAACCAAAACAATTCTGACGCTATCCTGCAGAAGAGCTTCGAGTAAATAGATTTTTATATTTTAGACAACATTTAACATCATTTAGCACCAAAGTATTAGTTTGTAGAAACCCTTTTTGTTCGTGATTTACCTGACTATGTACTTGCTTTACCAGGGCTACTCACTGGAGAAAGGAAAAATGCAAGGAATGATTCTTACTGGTAAGACTGGAAACTGTCTCTGTATAGGTAGCATTCATTACATCCTAATTATTTAAATTAGACAAATAATTGCACAAGATAAGGGAATTATGTCTCCTTTTTCCATGCTTCTACATTATTTTTGAATGATAAACATAATTTTATTTGCAGGAAGTTTGACAGTCATTAACTATTATGATTTTTAAATACATTTGCTTATGCTTTTTGCTGATGCTTTTTTGTGAACCATTCTTTAAGATAGATTTAGTTTCATCATATTATTTTTGTATTTTAAAATAAATTAGTCACGCAACATCTCTTACATGTATATGAGAATATTTACACGCCCATTAGCCAAAACACGAGTACATGAAATTGCACACAATTCAGGGTCAGAGTTTTATGGATATACGACTGCTATTAGTGTAATGCCATCTAAAAAAAAAAGGCAATCCATGCCAGGGTTTTTAATGACTTATAGTCGATAACAGCAGCTCAGCATTGCCAGCGCTCATGATTCTGGTTCTTTGTTTTGCAGATTACCATCCACCGACACCGCCGCAGAAGACTGGTTTCCACCGTTACCAGTTCATGTTATTTGAGCAGCCTCCTCACACAAAGATATCACTCACTGAAAAGGAGTCTTCCCGTGGTAATCACTCTGCATCTTTAGATCGCAGAAATGTGATCTGCAACGATATCCTAAAACACTAGATTCTACCATTTTGTTACTGAAGATTCCAGCAAGACATTCAAACTCCTCATTTCCTCTCTTAGTAACCACAACAAGTCTTTCTTTCCCTTAATGAAAGAAACGTTGTGGATCAGACACATCAGTGGACTTGTTTTGTCTGTTCTCACAACTGTATGGTTTTATTGCATCACTTGGAGTTATTTTTGGTGGGCAGTTTTTGTTCGAGTGCATGAACCCAACAAAGAAAATGTTAATGAGGTTAATGAGCGAGTCTGCGGCTGTGCTAATGCCCACCAGGTCAAGACGAGCATTACTGGCTCCCACGCACACCTGCATGAGTCCGCCTGGCTGTGTGTTCGTAAACCTGAAATCCCCAATCAGCGGTGTCAGTGCACATGAACGAACGGTTCAATTTGAACATCAATTATTGTTGATATCATTACCATATCTTTGTTTGTTTGTCTCTCAGAAGTCAGTCTTGTTCTTGCGGCAGAGCTTTTGTTTTCTTTCTTGTTCTAAAATAACTTTTCCACTGTCTGAAGTCAGTGGGAAGGTGCGAAGCAGCACTCAGATGAACAGCACAGCAGCTCGCAGGAGGCGTGTCTCCCTGTCTGTTCTACTCCGGTCACAGTTGATGATTTGAGGGGAGATCGGGGCGGTTGGAGACTTTCGAGCTCGGCGCCGGTGAACAAGTGGAGCTGCCAGTCTCTGCTGTTTGAAGTTTTGACAGCTTTGTCAGCAAACAGTCCAAGCACATTAGGCTGAGGTGTGTTTGATGTTTAAAGTTTAGGGAAAAGAAATGCCAGAATAAATTAACTTTTTTTGTTTTTGTGCTACACCCAAGTCACATTTGGGTAATTTTCAGTAAACCTTCATCACATTGTTAAAACAGAATGTTTCAAATATAATGTTTGTAATAAAAGAAAAAAAAATACAAATAGTCTGACCCAAACACAAACACCACTCCCCACCACCCCAATTTTGAAGCAATTGCTGTTAGCGGATCCACCCATCCTTAATCTACTGGATGAGTTTAACTCCCGTTGTCGCACTTCCTCTCTCCTGCAAAATCTATTCAAGGGAAATTTGATTAAGGAATTCACTCTTAGATAATCAAATGTTTCATTTGAAGGGTCAGTTCTTGGGAGAATAACTGTTCATCTGAAGAGAGCGATGGGCTTGGATGTTGAGAAATAAAGGTAACTCATGTTTTACACTCACATCTCAGATCATTAAAAAGGTTAATTATTTTTAATGATTCAATTCAAAACGTGAAACACATATAGGTTTAATTATAGTGTTCTCTTAGTAAAATTCAAATATTTAATTTGCCAGAAAATTTTACTATTGAACAATTTTGAAAGAAAGACTTTTGTAAACAACACAATCACAGCGGTGACCGCTTACATCAGCTACATTGATGGTTTGCTTGTGTCGTCGTCAGCCTTTTGAAGCACTTCTTAAAGGAGTGAGTGTGGCTGGGCAGTAACCATTAAGACAAGATGCTACACAACTTTGGCACAGATATGCCTATGGATGTCTTGAGTCATGATACAGATGGTAAAAAATGCCAGCGAAAGCCTACAAACGCATGCATAGTTTCTTCTTAGATCAAATTTGCAGAAATAAATTTTTGAAATATATCTGTTTGAGTGCAACTGATAAATTACCCAAGTTTCACTTTTAGAATAAAACTGCTGAAACAAATGAACTTTTCAATTATATCCTAAGAAGATGCACCCGCTGGAGATAGGCACCCCACTGGGCACAGGGGTGTACAGAAAATGGATGGATGCACCTGTTTTTGGCTTTGACTGCGTCTTTCTATTATTTTACCTGCTTTATTGTCATTGGCCTTCACGACCATGTGCGCAGTATGCACACTAAGAGAAGAAGAACAGAGGGAATCCCATGTCTCCCACCTCCTCCGTTAAGTATGTTCACTTGTTAGCATCTGTCCTCCCTCCATGTGGTATGACACACAGAGGATTCTTCATAACCGATGACATTAATTGACGTGATTTGTGAAGGAGAGCATTTAGTCGTGGGTGGAGGACTCCTAATGATCGTTTTCCACTTCCAGTAGTGGAGTCATTGACTCAATTTTATTTCTGATTTGCTGTCTCTCTTCTTTTCATCTCTGACCATCAGTTAAGTAATAAGTACTGGCCAGAGGGGACTGAACAATTAGAGGTGGAGCAGGGGTTGTTGTGAAAAACCGTGGGAGTCTGCTTTGCCTCCAGGGTTAAGGTTATGAATGTGGGTCAGTGAACTGATGGAGACAGCTGGTTTGTTACATAAGGATCTACAGGGGGCTACAATCTTGGCACTGGGCACAGGGGCGTTATCCTAGGGAATCCCCATTGCTCTGGCTCAGGAAAGCTGTCCCTCACTGGAGACTGCCCCTGTGCCAGGGTGGGGGGTGGAGAAGGGGGCGCAGGCGTGGGCATTTAAGCCCTCATGATACTTGTCAGGCACTTGGCAAGCCCTTATTATGTCCTGGTACTGTTCTGTGCCGACATGTCAGTTTGTCGGGGGGAAACAGTGTTACAATGCCTGGAGGGAAAACCCGAGGCCTTGAGAGCGGCTGCCTAGTGTTGTTTCAGTTTACACGATACACTCTGCATACACTGTTCACACATCCAGCCGTCCATCTCCTGACCTTAGCAGCCACTCTACATGTGCAGATCTACCAGCCTCAAAAACGGTTTGAGATTATTTGCTTGAAAAAAATAGAAACTTATAAATAACACATTGCTTTGATTCCCGCAGCCGCTTTTTCCTTCATTTATTTCTGATGGATTGTAAAAACAAGGGTGACGATCACGTTGTGTAAAAGAATGGATCAGAGAGGAGTTAGCTCCTGGATCCTACACGTTGCTCATCTTGCTTCCCAGAGCCTGTACTGCCAGCTCAGCACACTCCGCAGTAATTGAAGCCATTTGCAATGTTGTAGTGTGGTAATGGGCAGATCCATGTCTACCACCCACCCACAGCCTCTACCATTAATCAGAGCTGCGAGGAGTCAAGAGAGCCAGGATTTGGTTGCTGTAGCAGGCCCAAGTTTTAGGCTGGAGTCAGCTCCTTTAAAGTGGCATCTTGACATCTTGAAATTGACAGGTTTGGTTCAAAGGTTTTAAGTCTTTCAACTCACAAGCTTTGATCTGAAACATTTATCAAAAGCATATAGAGTAATCCTTACCTTTACATTTTTTAACACTTGCATTTAAGAGCAAGGACATAATTTCACTATACCTGATCTGCACAAATATGTGCATCCCTATGAAACTTGATCATTTTAGGTCAGATCAGGACTTTCACTTCTTGTCCAGATGAGAAACGATTAAAAGACATACACTAAAAACATGGGGAAATATGTTACTAGTGTTATTACAAGTTAAAGTTAACTTTTTTAAAATACAGTTTTGTGGCTTTTAGAGAGCCCTGAAAGGGATTCTTTCTCATTGGATTTTTACAATCTTATTTTTCCTGGGATTTAATGAGATAGTTGAACAAGTAATGTGCAGTTGTTAAAAGGAAAGAAAATATTGCATGTTCCTTTATTATTAGTAGTATTGTTATTTTTGCAAATAAAAAAGTGACAACTGTGCCAAACATCTGTATTCAGTCTTTCTACATGAACATTGTGCTGTAGTTTTTTTCAGTCTATCAATATAAATTTTTAGGATTTGCAGACGGATTTAGATCTGGGATTTGATTGGATCACTACAACACCTTGAATGTCCTTCAACTGAAGTTGCTTTGTTGTAGCATGTTTGGTGTCATCGAAACGTCACAGAATGTTTATCTCATGTCACAATGAGTGAATTGATCTTTTTTACTCTAGCGGGGCTCAAACATTTTTGGTGAATTGTTTTTTTTTTTTTTTTTTTTTTCATCGAAGACAACTTGGTTCTGAAAATTTGCCCCATAGCCCAGACATACAGTGCATGTTAGAGATTGTTGTCAAATGTTATGAACAGCCAGTCTTTGCCAGGAAGTCCTGCTGCTCTTTCAGTGCTGCCATAGCCCTCCTGGCAGACTCATCTCCGCGTTTCCTATCACTTTTGGAGGAACGCTGTGTTCCTAGTTCCATTTCTGGTGAGATGCACTTGTTGACAATTGCAAGTGTTGTGCAGAAATCTATTTAAATTTCCTGATTGACATCTTTCAGTGATAAGATCTGTTGAGGAAAGGCTTTCAAAGACAACCTGCAGTAGTTAGGAAACCCAGGGAAGTCAACGTAACGTTTGCTTAAGAATTCATAATTTGTACACAATCCATCGAACTTCATTTGACCAGGTTTGTCTCTTTTGCAAGCCCTACTACAAGAACACAATTACAATACAATACAAAATCATGTACATGTTACTAATTTGCTAATACATTAATTGATCATTTATTGCATTTGAATTATCTCACAATAAGAAACTTTGAAAAATCATAAATCTATATACTAAAAAATAACAAAGCTTTTTTTATTTCAGTTTTACTTATTTTACTTTTTAAACGAATGGTATGTTCAGTACTGTTGCCATTAATTGTACTAATGTCGTAAGTACTGTATTCAATACAGTTTGGTATAATGGAAAATGCATATTTATTCACTTAGATTTATGTAACAGTTGAATATTGGAGTTTCTATGCTTGTTCATATTGACCAGTTTACATGTTATTTTAATGTAAAAAAATAACTTTAGGTTCGGTGATTTGGGTTTCGATGGAAAATTAGGCTTGTTCACCTCGCAGATCTAATAATCTACAGCATTAAGCTTGCAACACATTGAGAGTTAAAATCAACAGGCATTTTGAGTTTTCCCAGGTTAATCCCTCTCCAGCGATAGATACTGTCTTGTGGCTGAATCCCGGCAGCAGCAAAGTTCCTCATCCTGAAAATAAACACTGCAATATTCCTGCATCTATTTTTATAAGAAGAACCTCAGTCAGGCTGTTACTCTGATATGGCTCCTTTGACTTTAGTGCGAGAAAAAAAGATTACTGGATTTTGAGTATATCTGAGACAGTGTAAGAGGTTTAACAGGGACACCGCCCACACCACTAAATGTAGCAGTTCTCTGTCACCTCGCAGCAGTCCTGATCTTCCTGCCATACCCAGGCAGAGATGCAAGGTGGAAACAAAAGGAGAGGCAGGAAGACGTTAACATCGCCCTCAGGTCCCACACTATCTGTCCTTTCCATGAGCGTGCAGATGGGAGAGGCGGAAACGTGTCTCTGCACTACAAACAAGCACCAGCCTATTTTAGGGTCACTTGTAAGTCTAGACATTTGCAAGGTACCAACCAGCACGACAGCAGTGGATACTGAGAATTTACTTCGTTTTGGAATGAGCCCCAATGATTGCACAGCTTTAGACAGGATTATATGTGCAGAGTCTTTCAAATGCTGCCTGACTTTGACTCCAGCACTTTTTAGAGAAGATGTTGCCCAACACCGCTGTAAGGCAAGAAAACAGAAACGCAGATGAAAAAGTATTTTTGCTTCATTGTCATAATAGTGAAATCTACAACATGACATGTCAGATATGTCCCAGTATTTTATGTAAAGTTCATCTCCAAGCTGTCTATCGTTTTGCAGTAGCTGGGGGGTGAGTGACCTCGTCGTGGACATGCCAAGGAGTTTGGGGATCTGAAGAGGCGGTGCATTATCTGAGACTGAAGCACAGACCCATAAGGGTCGGGTGAGGCCATGCCCTTTGATGCAGACAGGTCACTTGACTCCATTGCCCTCTCATGATTATTGGTGGCCTCCCTGCTGGCAGTCTTCATTCTCAGAGATGACCTGCTGAGATTCAGGTACTCATCTGCTCATCTCCCAGTTATTATTCATCCTCTTTCCCCCAGCTGAGATCAGAACCTGACCCGAACTCACAGCTACATGGAAATGTCAGGTTTTGAAACTAAAAAAAGTCTTGACAGGTTGGGGAAAAAATTGTTTAGGTATTGCTGTATAATGCAAATTCTGCTTATTTTTCAAAGATTTCTATAGAAACAAATGATTACATTAAAAAGATAACGTGTAGAATATGTCTATCAATTAAGTCTTCAGATTTGTGCTTTTGTTAATGGCGAGCTACATCAATCAGGCATAACATTATGACCAATGGTCATAATGATTAATAGTGTGTTATTACACCCTTTTTTTCTCCTTAAACAACCCTGACCTGTGGAGCGATGGACTCCAGAAGGTCCCTGAATGTGCGATGCAGTGTCGGGCAACAAGATGTCGGCAGAAGGCTTTAATACCTATAGTGCATCTGGGTGTAATGTCCTCAGATAATGCACATACACCCAGCTATCAACATGATATAAAAGTACACAATAGAAGTGACTAAATATATGCATAAAAAAATAAAGAACAAGTACCTCGCTCTGACACTGTTACAGCTATTTTACTTCTACACTATCAGTTTGAGCTAAAAATTTATGTGGAAATAGAAAGAAAATAACTTAATACTTTTAAAAATACTTTTTTCCCTGCAATGTTTTTCTTTTATTTTTATTTTGTATGTCCATGTTTCTTTTCCATGCCTATGTGTATTATTTAAAAGATGTTGCTTCAGTGAAGAACAACGGGTCAGTAGGAGCATGCTAACTAATCTAGAGTTATGTAGTATCAAACTACAATGACACCTTTCCATCAGAACCAGTATTGACTCATTTTTCAATAAGACCCAGCAACTCATCTGCTTTGCTGCTTTGCATTAGTGAGTCCATGCCTCACAGCCTGTCTTCCTTTGAGCCTCTTTTGACATATTCTGAGTAATGCAGACCAGAAACACAACAAGGTTGTTCAAGGTTGTAAGCCTTCTAACTGCATTATCATGGGTTCATTGTGGTTGAGTCAGTATTCTGATGGGGCTTTAGATCAACACCTAGAAAGCTCAAGGTGGGTCCTTGCTAAACCCACCTTCGATGGTGATATAGTTTGGGGTGCTTGAATTTTGTTTTAAACAGACATTGTTGCAAAACACTTCTGCTTCAAATCTCAGCTCAGACGATGGTCCTTTATTAAAGTTTTGTTGATTGGTTGGATGTTTTGTATCACTGCCTGGTTTGCTCATTAGTCCATAACCTGGATATTAGTTTTATTTGTGCCTGCTGTTGCTGCTGTTCTGCTCAGCAGAACAAAAACCAGAAGTTTTTCTGCTCTGGACATTTTACCTGCTCAAAATTTGACACATTTTTGTGTGTGTGTGTGTTTTTGTCTGAGCTGTCTGCAAATTTGTTTTCCAATAGGAAGAGCTGCAGTTTTGAAGATGCTCTAATGCTGTTGTGTAGCCAGGAACATAGTCACACTTGTCAAATTTGCTCAAGTCCTTGTTCTAACATTCTGCTTCTAACTCATCAACTTTGAGGACTAACTGTACAGTTGCTGTTTAATGTAGTTTAAACCTGATATTTCTCTACACAAAAAAGACTATGTTTTTCCTTCAGAATTTTACATCGAATCAGACTGAATTTATACTATCTTAAGTCAGGAGTAACAAAATAATTTCAATTTGCTTTTCTTGAAGTTATTGAATTGATGAGAGTGCCTACAAACAGTGTAGACATGAGCTATCTAGCCATTCAAGGAGGAAGAAGCTATTTCTCTATAACAAGATTTTACAAAACCAATATTAGTGTGTGGTAATACATAGAAGGACAGTTTTCACTGAGACATGTCCTGATGAAACTAAAAACTGAATTGTTCAGAAATAAAGATCATTGTTATATTTGGAAGAAAAAAAGAGGAAGTTTGCAAGCCTGGAAAAAGAATCATCCGCACTGTGAAGTAGGGATTGGCTGAGTCATGAAACGCAGGTGTTTTGATGCAGGAAGGAAAAGGAGCACTTCACAAAAAGCAACGTGATGAAACGTGGGAATATTTCAGTAACATCTCTGGGTCTGGGCCAACTTTCAAACTTTCTTAAAAAATTAGTGTTCCAAATAAATGATGTCCTCAATCAAACTGGCATAAGATCAACAAAGTTCATTTTTTTCTGTGGCGGCCACCACACTTGAACAGTGTGTGCAAGAAAGGCAGCCTTCAAACCCGACTCAGTAACATCAGCTGTATCAGGAGGAATGAACCATAACTACTGGGAGAAACTTGTAGAAGGGTCTCTAAAATCTTCACTACTCAAACTACTAACAGATTTTGGTACAAGAGATAATCAATGACTCTCATTTCACCTGTCAGAGATTATAATTTTATGCTTAACCATTAAGTGTTTCTAATGCATGCTGCTGTCTGATGGCTGAAAAGTGACACCATATATATCAGATGAAGCAGAATGTTAAAGATGACTTGTTTTTTTTTTTTGTCTTTAATCCAGGCATATTGAGATTTGACCCCTATCTGAGTCCATTCTCTCTATGGATTTGGGCCATTTCAGAAGCGGGCTTTTTCAACTTCCCAAGGCAATCCTTGAACAGCTGTTAGTGTAATTACCGCACACATGGAAATACCAGAATGTCCCTGATTCCCTGGATTACAGTACAAAGCATCAAAGCATTGTCTGATGCACATGCAGACATATGAAGACGCAGACATGCACTCTTTCTTTGTGGAATTTGTTGAAGTTTGCAAGTTTAAAGCACACAGGATTTTCTTCTTGGAATCGTAGTTGTGAATTTGTCCTCCTTTTTTTTTCTTTTTTTTTTGTTAAGGGAGGGAAAACTGCAGGGAATCAGTGGTTGTCAAAATCTTAGAAGTGATATTGTCATACCAGCCGGATGGCCGTCTGGTGTTTGTTTAAAAGGGGAGGGAAGAGAAAAAAAACAGTCCAGGCGATTGAATCATATCTTCTTGCCAATACGTCCTTGCGTTCCCACCTCCATCATTACAGCAACATGTTTTATTTTCAGCAGAGCTGTTCTCAGTGACTCACATCCCAGAGCCATGTGTTGCTCAGTTAGGCCTCAGATCCCTTAAACACAGACCAAGTGGTCAGAAGAAATGCTCTCATAATGCACCAGAGAGTGCACTCGGAGTACAGCTCATTTCTGGAGTGTTTTGCTGGACTGAAAGCAAACCTTAAGTTTTTTTCCTCTCAATTCTTTTGCTTAAATGCTAATGAAAATCTGTGGTTTGTGTCTTCTGCACCTCCAGGTAAATGGGATTTTCAGGCCTTCGTCGAAAGGTTTAACCTCGGGGAACCAGTGGCTGCCTTGCAGTTTCTCACCCAGAACTTCAAGGACTAAAGGATACTCAAGTACTTCTATCAGAAGAGGAATACAATAGTAGTTATACAAACTAAACAGTTTCTTCATTTGTATTGTTTCCCTGCTTAAACAGCAGAAATTCTTCAAAGCTTGCGCCACTTTCTATCTTATCTGCGTTCAAGAGATATTTCCTCTGTGTGTTGCTCTGGCTGAAGGGTTTTTGATGTCGCCCCGTATCTCTGGTCTCGTGGTTGGGAGCAAAGGATTCAGGAGATAGATTTAAACTTCACTGGGGATTTCTTAATAGTTTCCAAACACAGACGACAAGAGAAGGAAGACAGTGCTGATATCACAACTTAGTGTGGAAAGAGTTATTCTAATTCAGGGGCCGGAAACACGTCAGGGCCAAAAAAAGGAAGTGGGAGGTGAAACTAAGACCGCAGCTCAGCCGGATGCTGCAGTGGAACTTGAACTAAAATACTCTAGAGTGACAGGGCAAGGGGGAGGGGCTGTCAGGCCTGTCATGCACCAAGTTAAGGGAACTTGCTGTTTGTGTCATTGTTTATCATATTTCCATTGACCACTCTCACCTCGATTGGAAACAGTGAGCTACTTTCAGGTATCTGGTTTATCTGAAGAAACAGCCGCTGAGTTTTTGACGTGTCCTTCAGTATAACTTCAGGACAATGAACCCATTTTGAACTTGAGAGAGTTGCATAAGAGCCTCACCTGGCAGGTCTGCAGAGGATGGTGTGGGTAAACTTTTCAACCCATCCACACTAAAATGCTCTACAGACTTTACGGGTCTCTGTAGAGGATGGGTCAGAGTCCCGTCCCCCACCCCCATGAAGAATATTGGTTTCTAACCAGCAACTCTCCTCCCGGGAGTGTTTGTATCAATACCCCAGATGTCTGAAAAAGGGTGGATTTACATGAGTGACTTTGATGTTCTGATGATCAATCTTTAGTTGGTGGTTTCATTGACCCTAGTTTGGTGTCTCATCAGTGGGATAGGCAGGAGCAGGTAAAGGAGGCTTTCGTGCCTTTGGTGGATAAGCCAGCCTTGGTAACCCCCAATGTGCCCTCTCCATGAACTCTGGAAGATCATTGATCAATTGTCCAGCATGTGCTTTGTTTGCCTCCCAGACTCAGCAGTCAAAGCACCCAAGTTCACAAACAAAACAACCAAAACAATACACACGGGCCCACAGTGAGCGAGAGAACCCACTGCTTTTGAACGCACAATAAGTACCCATCACTTCGAGTGTTGCTCCTGACCTTGATTTGCTCGTCTTATTTGACTTATAAAATCACATTTCTAACAACTGGCAAGTCGAGGATAATTCCACACTCATTGTGAAGCATGCCAAGTAGGAGAGCATTCTTCCAAAAAACACCTACTTGAATCCATCAGTACAAGACTGAAATGCCAAGATGTGCACTTCCAAATGCACTGTGCATTTTTTCCTGCTCCTTTATGTTTTAGAGATATCCTGCCAAACCAGCTGGGTTTTGCCGTTCAGTTTCCTCGAACGTGTTTATTTTTACTCCAAATGTCAAGAGTTAAATGTTATGATTAGTAAAAATTGACAGTTATAGTTCATTGCTGGAGAGCATATAAGCTTCTCACTTTCCCTGATGATGTGAATAAGGCTTTCAAGATTTTCTTTAATGAAGTCAATATTACCGCAGTTTATCATTTTTATAATAAGATTAGTTGTCTCACTGGCAAAAGTGATCCAATATGCAAGATAATACTAAGAATTATTTCATCAGAGAATTTCTGAGTTACTGCATGTTGTTCTAGAATGAATTTGAGAGGAACATCTGATCAGTTAATATTCATACAGTTTATATTTCCATATATGACTGCACGTGTTGGATGCAGTTCGAATTCCTCAGGAGATTTGAGTCCTGTCTCAGAGTAAATTTTTTTCTTTTATTCATCCATGTTTCTGGGTAACTGAATCTGTTTTTTTTTTTATCTAAGCACATATTTTTATCCCATCATATAAAACCCCATAAAGAAGGTGACCTTTAACATGTCTTCTGGTAAAACTATTGGAAAATTGTAACAAAAGTCTAGCCAAAAGCGTCTCTAATTTTATTTTATTTTATTTTTTTTTTTAGTTTTGTACGGAAAGTACTTTGCTTCCTATTGCATTCAACCACTTGCATATGTGGTTATACAAATCAAATTCATAAGTTTGTGCCTAAATAAAAACCACACAGAGCACTGCACTGCTATGCTGTGTGTATACTCCTGCAGAACTCCTGCATATATATTGTATATCTGATGCACAAAGTTTGTAGCTGCTGGACAAAACTAAACACTGTCAAACAATAATGTAACAAGCTGCTACTCCAGTAGGAAGAACTGGGCTGTCCTTCTATAAGACTTGAGGTCTCCTAACCTCTTTAGAAACCATCTCTCCTCCTTAGATCTTTGATACATGTGGGTAACATGCACCTGTACCACTTCAGCATACATACATACATACATCAGTGATTTGCAAATGTATCCCTACTTCTCCTGTTTGTTTTTTTTTCAAACCACAAAGTTTAATGTTTGTCTGTGAAGTTTTAAAGAGAAAGTAGTTTGTTATTTTTGAAGTGGATGGAAAGTGATGCAAGGTTTTCAAAATCTTTGTTGTGTAAAAAGTTTCAATTGTGTTCAGCCCCTTAGAGTCACTATATTGTAGGAGCCTTTGTTGCAATCACAGCAGGAAGTCTTTTGGGATTTTTGTCAATCAGCTTTCCGTCTGTGAATGTTAAATGTTGTTGGTTGTCTATACCTACGCAACACTTCCCTGTGATGTAAGAAATTGTGGAAGAATTCAACGGGTATAATTACTGTTTCAAATCGCTGTACACGTACATCTAAACAAATAAAGTATAATGGAAAAAATGTTATATTTCGTGCCATTCATTTCAGAAAGTGAAACTCAACCAGTTTCATTGTTTGAAATATTTTAAGCCCTTTATTACTTGTAGCCTTGGTGATTATGTCTTAGGATAATTGAAACCCAACATTCTGCGACTTAAATATTGGAAACTTGTGGTTTCACATCGATTAACTCAAATACATCTGCAACGGTGTCCTAGAAATGGTCTCTCATTCTGGGTCAGTCACTGATGATTTGACGTGCCATTTCATCTGCTGGTGTTGGCTCACTGTGTTTTCTAGTCAACCATAATATCTTAAAGAACTTCATGTTTTCCGCTGCTGACAAGATCTATGAAGATGCTGATTTCATTTTCCAGCAGGACTTGGCATCTGCCCACACTGCCAAAGGTACCACAACAAGGTTCAATTACCATGGTGTAAATTTGCTTGACTGGTCGGCAAACTGGCCTGACCTGATACAGAATCTATAGTGTTATCAAGAGGGAGGCAAGAGACACATACTGTTCAGAAGTCTAGCATTCCTGTTTGAAATATTCTCTTATTGATCTTGTGTAACAGTCACAACTTTGAGGCAGTGAATTCTCGGTTTTCATTATATATAAACCATAATCATCAAAATTACAAGTAAGAAAGGTCTACAATATTTCACTCCATGTACAAATAATCTAAGTGTGACAAAAATACTGAACTGTATGATATCCAGATTTTTTTTGATGTACGTTTATGTCATCATCTATTACCATATGTCTGATAAATTAATGAACCAGAAAATTAAGGAGAAAGTTAACAGTGCACAATCATTTTAAGTATTTTTGAATGCATATTGTTTTCCATATTTTTATTACATTCTATGTTCTGAATAAAGTTGTAGATTATGCTGGTGGTCCGCGTTTTAAGCAAATTCTTGCTTGCGTTTCGTTTTAACTAGATAATAGTGGTGAACTTATTGCACTCAGTCAATATAAAATGAAACAGCATTTACTCAGCTGTTTATTTTTGTAGCTGTTTCATCAGCAGCATGGGATAATTTTTGCCATCTTTATTACATGTGGAAAGAAAAAAAACTAATTTGACTATGCATCCACAGTGCCTTGGAGGTTTTCCACAGCACTTCAAAATGGGCCTCTGCTTCCATGGAATTCCCATATGCAAAAGAGCCGAGCGATGCGCTTTGAGCCAGGTCACGCCACAGGCCATTGACAAACTCTACAGGCCCTCCCCCGTGTGACACATCTCACAGTCGAGGAAAGAAGCCTGCAACAGGTAACTGTTCCAGCCGGGGTGGCCAACTTTCCAACCGCGGAGATACACACACTCTCCCCCTCCCCAAGGAAAAACAAAACGGTACAGAGTCCCAGGCCACACCTGGGGATTCTCTGATGGTTTGCATCCATAAAAACGACAGGGGACGCCGCTGTGACACTATGGATCAGGTAGCGATACTAATTAAAACAGAGTGACAGGAAGACGAGGCAGCAACGTTAAGGACCTAAAACACACACCGACACACGCAAGCCATGTGATTATTCTGCAAAGGTTTATATGGTCAAGTTCTACTTTTATCTGCTTGGTCTGTTTGCTTCAAAATTTTAAATGCAGTTTTAATATGGATCTTTGTTTGATGCTGGAGTATAAAAAGTCAAATCTTTAGATAAAATTCAATACTAAAATATGAAAATAGTAATATCAGCCAGGCTTTAAACATGTAAACATTTTAGATTGAACTCATGAATGCAATTGCCATTGAATGCAATTTGATTTTTCCCACATATGGATCTAAAAATACAAATGATTTGATGGTTTCCCTGTATTGTGATCCATTACCTTTGATCAAAACTTTAAAAAAAAAGAAGTAACAAATAGTACAACTGTACCTCACACAAAACAATACAGATTATAGTTATCTGTAACATATTAACAGTTCCTGTTATTTTGACTCATTGATTCAAGCATGAATGTCAATAAAATTAAATTTAGTTTAATTTTCAGATGCTTATTGCACAGAACATTATATCTGCTTGATGTTCTGCTTTCTAAGAGTCACACTGGAGCTATAGGAAAATATGACAGTCGCCTGTTAATTAACCCAACTATTTGCAGTTCTAGCCAGTCTCTTTAGTAGATGTATCACTCATAGTTTGCCATCTGGAGTTTTAAACAGTTTTACCTTAATAAAAAATTAATAAATCTGTGCTCTTTGGTAATACACAGAATACTTAACAGACTTGAAACTGTGACTTTAAACTATGGGATAACCTGATATGGTTAGGGGATTTTTTTTATTTTATTTTAAATTTAGATATTTTTATGGTGGGCAATAAGGGATGGAAATGCATTTGGAAAAAAAATAAATAAATAAAGGTCGGGCTGTGTCAGAAAAACAGTCTTTATTGTTGTCGTTCGACGTTACCTAAAGTGATCAGACCGTATTTAGCTGCTACAAGAGGCACGCTTGAGTGCAAAGACTTGTGTTTGGTAATGAGACATGCAAGATCAGCGACTGCTCTGTTTGTGTAAGCCCCCCAAACACCAAGCATGATTCAGACTAATTCTCCCACACACTCTGTTTACACTTATGCCTCATTGAGTATTATTAATTTCTTAGGTCTGTGTGTGCAAGCACTGACATGCCATTCAACATTTTCTGAAAATATTCCATGGGCCTCTGTTTTGTTTGTCTCTTTTCATACAACTTAGCCACACATAAATAATACAAAATTCAGAAATGTTCAATAATATCTTCACCCCAGTTTAATAACTACATGTCATGATTAAATAAAGTTGGGAGGGGGGTGGAGTTTCACATTGATCACTTTTAGTTTATTTATTTAGTTTGTGTGTGTGTAACCAACTAATTCATAGAAGGGGCTTTTGTCAAACTCACCAAGTACATGGTTTTGTTTGGGGTTTTTTTCACAGTTTGCACGCTGGCAAAAAAAAAAAAAAAAAAAAAAAAAATGCGAGCCATGACGTGTCGTCCACTGTCATCTTTTTAAGCGTCTGTGGCTTCCGATCACTTTTCCACTACTACTTCTACTACGACTACTACGACTGCTTCACCCGGAACTCGCATGTCCAAATACAGACATGGCTGGGCGGGGCCGGACGCTGCCTTATTTGGAGTTTCCACTCCGCCGGTTTACTTGGACTCCCAAGTCAAAGCAAGCCTGTGCAAAGCTTTGCAATATTTACAAGCGATTAACTCTGTCAATTACTGTCTTTGTTTGACAATGATGCTGCTTGAAAAGGAGTTTGGAAGCAGCTTCTATTTTTTTTTTTTTTTGCAACAAAGTGCTGCAAAAAGTGTGTGCAAGTTCACAGGGAGAGAGAGAAAGAGAGAGAGAGAGAGAAGGAAAGAATGAGGGGGGGGGGGGATGGGAACACCATTATCCAAAGTTCTGTCTGAACTTTTCGGGACAAGATGAGGCGTGATTGTAAAGTCAACAAAGCACGTTTTAATATCACAATGTAATATATTGTGGGAAGACGGTCGTAAATTATGGATAAAGTCCATTGTGTGAGTGACATGCTTTATAGCCACAACACTCTACAGAAGGCACCGCAAGAACTGAAAATAATCGAGATTACGTGCTGCCATTATTTATTTTTATAACTCTATTTTTTTTTTTTTTTTTTTTACAAGGCCGGGGAAAGCAATGGAAGAAGGACGCAGCTGGGTGCGCTATCTCGATTTCTGTAAACTTAGATATCTTTTGCCTCCACTATAGTTTCCACTGACTGACGCGCGGAGAGCCTGCTGATGGGCGCCCATGTCCATATATGGTCATCTACGTCACAGAAATGTTCCATCCCCCTATTTAATACGGGTAGACTGGAGTCCCCTGTCCAGCTCCAATAGAGCACGCAGAGCGGCTCCTCTTGTTCAAGCAACACCGCCATCCTCTCCTCTTCCTCCTCCTCCTCCTCCTCCTTCTTCATTGATCCACTGGCTTCAAATTCCCCCACAAGCAGCCCGTCAGCCTCCACAGTGATCAGATTAGTCACAATAGGCTGCCAGCGCTCAGAGGGGAGACGACCGGCGCCGCGCGTCCTTCGCGGGATACTTTGGATAGCTACAGCTCCGGGATCCATCCTGCGCCCGCCTCGCCCGAGCCGCACCTGTGCGCTTCTCCGTGCGCCCACCTGGATACCCGCGCGCTGTCCTCTGTAGATGTCGGACTGAACAGAACTGCTATGACAGGGAAACTAGCGGACAAGATCCCTCTTACCATGAGCAGTTTAATAAACACGATCCCCGACAGTCTCTACCCGGAGGAGGACATCCCCACCTCTATGAACATTTTCACCAGCACGGAGTCCATAAACCACTATTCACAGATGAACACAGGTAAGTTTCTTTATTTCTTTTTTCCCCCCTCGAATTTACTAAGCTCTGTTTAAAAAAAAATGAAGCTCAAAGTGCGATGAGCGGCGGACGGCAACAGTTGTCTCCGGGCTTGGAGCACCTGTTTGCGCTCCCGCTCTGTTGCGCACAAAGGCAGATTCCTTCAGGAGCCCCTCACTCCAGAGAGGTCAGGTGTGTGAAGCAACTCGCGTACCCGCTGAAAACGCAGACGCGGCGTGTGACCGTTTCTGGTTTTGTTTATTTTTTATTTTTTTCATTTTGTTGTTGTTATCGTTTGAATGTTTTGAGTCAGTCTGCCGTTGCCGAAGCGTCAGAAAACGCAAAACGAACACAACTCGTTTCACAACTAAGTACGCGGCGATTAATAATTATAAATAATAATAATAATACAAGTTTTAAAAAAATATAATAAATCTGGGAGGGAAAAACTGTCGCGTTGTGATTTCATTTCTCACAATCTGAGAAATGTTTTTGATTTGTTTTGTTTTGGGGTTTTTTTACATGGAAAAGGTTTTTGTCGATTAGGAAACAGATTGATTCCTCTGAATGAAGTCGGTTAAGTGTGTCACTGTGGTTAGTCCGTGGTGTCTCAGATTTGATATCTACTAGTAAAGGGGAGGGGGAGAGGGGGGTCAGCTACTTAAAACAATGACTTTCATTCACAACTCTATTAACACTGTTTTAGTAGGCGTGTGTGGGAGCATCCTATGTGAAAACACGCTCAAAGCGCATGGCCCGTGCGCCACCTTATATTTAAGAAATTAGAACAGCGGGCATTATCAATTGCACTCGCTGACTTCAATATTTATTTATTTATTTTAAATAAAACGGTTTTTATACGTCTGTTTGTTTTAATTCTTTCCATTCTTTCAGATGACGGGTCTGATGACACGCTGTGCAGCCTGGTAATATTACAAGAAACCCAGGGGTTAAAGCTTTTAAATGAGAGGATAATGCCGAGAAAAATACAAAACCTCTTTCATTTTCTGCCCGTCATTCTTTCACTTTAGCGACTTTCACTCGCGGGGTTTATTAACCAGGAGTTCTCACGGCCATAAAACGGTGAAAACACGCGCAGTTGTGTTTACTAAGACGCAACCCTCCTTGGTTTATCACAGATGTGTGTTTGAATTAAGCACGCGCCAGGTGTTTAAAAAAAACAACTAATTTTAGGCTCAATGTCATTTAAATTCAGGTCAATCAGGTCCTGCATAAGCCCTGTGCATTTTTATTTATTCATGCAGTAAAATATAATTATCTGCTTTATCATTGGCTGTAATTCAGCAAAGGACAGGAGAGATATCAGAGTGTTTCTGTTAAAATTGTTTGTTAATTCTTGTTTAAAGTTTACACCATACAGTGTGAAAATGCTTACTTGTGACTACTTATTTAGTGTAAAATATAGATTAAACACTAAAAGCAGGTGTGTCTTCTCGAAGAAAAGAGTACTGACCTTATTTTGTGCCTAAAATTTTGTCATTTTCAGCACTGGTTAAAATTGAAAAAAAGAAGAAAAAAAAACCCTAT